AACCTGGATGATCGAAATAATCACAACCCAGATAATCACGATTCGATATATATATATATATGTTGTATGATATTAATCATATTTACCTTACAAAACTAATATATTGTTTTTTTTGATATGATTGTCATCAACCATAAAATGATTCATACAATAATTATCAATCACATTTTTTTCCACGAATATAAACTTTTCTTAGCAAAAACCATTTTTATCCACTTCCACCGCACTGAAACCGAAGTTTAACCTCGCGTTACCATAAATAAATGAATTGTTCGAGGATACGAAACCAACTCGTCCCTTTTGCTCTCTCTATCGTTCTTTCCCTTCTCCATATAGAAGAGAGGAACATTGAAACAGGTAAAAACGAGGGAACCTGCCATTGTATTTCATTCATTTCCCCATCTCTCTCGATCTCGTATCACCTGGCGACCTTTATCTGGAATCTGGCCGGTTAACCCACTTTTGTTGGGGCCGTGACAGATCGGAGGATGCCGAAGGAGAGACCAGCTTCGTAAAGCTTTCGAGAATTTCGAAGTCGTCGCCTTTTACCCACGGTTTTTAATCGTGGATTATGGCCCCTGGCGCGCGTTGCCTGTGATTAATCGTCGAGTGGAAAAAGAGGGAACTGATCTTAGAACTGGTTAGGAAACGTGGAATCGGATTACACATGGAACTTGGTTCATATGCATTCTATTTATACATATATGGTCACGTTTACGAAGTGATTGGAACTTCGAATTAATTTCTCGAGAAAACAAATATTATTGCTTTTTAATTTTTTGAATGTTCTTCTGTGATGGACAAAAAATTTTTTTTTTACACACTCTTTAAAATTGAATAACATTTTTAAAATTGAATCAAATGATTTGAATTTTTTTTGAAATCTTAGAAGGATTATTAAATAATGTGTAAAAAAAAAAAATTTGTTAAAATTCAATCTATTGGCTGAATTTTGAAGAAAAGACTTTTAAAGATTTTTAATTTTTTTTATTTGAATTTATATTAAAGATTTAAAATATGTCTTTTGTAAATTATAACTAAATATGTTATAAATTAATTCTTTTAACTTTTTTCTTTTCGAAAGAATTCAAATCACTTAGTTCAATTTTAAAAATAATTATTCTATTTTAAAGAATGTAATAATAAAACTTTCCTCGCTATAAAAAGAATACTATTATAGAAACACAATTATAAAGTTTTTGAATTTCTGTGTAGAAATCAGAATTGTTGAAATATTGTTTAATTCTTATGTTATATTGATTTGAATGGAACCAAATTCAATGGAAGCAAAATAATATCTTTCCAAGTAAGATTTTATTTTGAGAACAGAAAATAATTTGGTAGATGTAAGATATCAATTTGGTGAATAAGAAAAAATAAAAGAAATTAAAAATTTGGTTGAATTTATTAAAACATTAATTTTATTAGAATTAAAATACATTGAACATTATCTCTTAAACTGTGTTTACATTAACTTATTTCTTATTCAACCAACCAACTGAATCAATCGACCTTCAGTAGCTCAATAGCATCTGTGTAAATTAAATATCGATTAAATTGATTGTACAAAGTTTGTCTATTTCCTATTCTTGATCGAACAATTTACTAGTGTCAACGTAATTGATCTTACAGTCACCTTAAACTGTACATATGTCAAGTCAAAACTTTAGTATAATCCTTTTTTTTCAATTTATTTTCTCCTTTTCACTAGTCGATTCAACTTGGTTAAATTTCCTGATCGTTCTATCAAACCAGTAAGCAACTTTTAATCGATCAATCCAATCAATCAATTTCTAATTGTACATTTCATTTGATTGAAATTTAGTTTATACGAGCAATTTTTATCAAATTGTGATTTATCGACTTGATTGATCAATTAAAAATTGTTTAATGTAAATGCAGTTTTATAAGTATCTTAAATCGATCCTTTATTGGGATCAAATATATGCAGGAATTAATTAATTAATGTAATCGTGAAACAACTTTGGAAGATCGATTCTAGAAATCAAAACAAACACAAAAATTGATATATAAAAATTTTGATTAAGGCTTATTTAGTTATATTGCGATTTGAACTTGCTTTAGATAAAACGAGATAGCTTCATTCTATTTTTATCTTACTTTATTTAACGGAAACTTAAACAATACAATTTAAATAAATCTCAATTGAAATTTTTGTATATCAACTTTTGTGTTTGTTTTGATCCATGAAATGAATTCTTTAAAAATATCATGAATTTATTAACAGAATATATTATCAAGAAAAAATTTTTTTAACATTTAAAGTGAATCTTGAACTATTAAAAAATGAAATTTTTTAAAGCAAATATTTAATCAGTAAGACTTTCTGATAGAATCGAAAGTAGTGCTTAAGATTTTATAGCTGAATTTTAATTATAAAATATTATTTTTATTCCAATTGAAATATTAATTTAAAGTTCAAAAATTTATAATTAATCCACTAATTTTTTAGATAAATAAGATATAATTTTCGTTCTATAATTTTTATTGTTTATAATAGTCCACATGTATGTTTATGTCGATCAATATTTAACCTTTTGTGCTTCAATGTTTAGAGTGATTATTAACCAATAACATCGATTTATTCCTGACATATTCGATATGTTCTACTTCGATGTATGGAGCAGATATTAATCATTTTATTTTAATAAAATTTTATTGAGATTTATTTATATATTACTTATTGTTAGTTTAATGTATTACGAAATTATTTATATAATACCTATTGTTAGTTTAATGTATTACTTAATTTTATATTTTATATTTATATATAAAAAATTTATATTATTAACATTTTCTTAATTAAATTCTAAATTTGTTCATTTAAATTATGAACATCATTTTATAAATTCAAACTAGTAAATTTATAATATAATAATAATATAATAATAATATATATAATATAATATAATATATAATTTTATATAATAAAAATAAGAATTAAAAAGATAAAAAAACAAAAGTAAAAAATTAAAACTTGAAAGTTCTTAAAATTAATTTTAGAATAATTAGTTTTTGGATATAAAATCTGGAAAATTAAACGTATATCTTTTTGTAATTAAAGAACGGCCATATAATTTTAATTTTTCCATTTTATTGATGAGTCTTTTGGCTTTCAATTTTTAAATGTTTTACTTTCTCTTGTCATTGATTGATTGATTTGTCGATACTTTGAGAAGGCAAGAATACGACCATATTAAATCTGAAGCAAGAGAAATTGTGCAGTTTTGAAAGCATTAATTGATTCGTGAATGATTATATAGTGATTATATACATTTAATATATGATTTAATTGATCATGTATTTTTATTTATTCCGATGAATAAAATACTAATTATATGGAATGAGTTTCATTTACAGTTTGTGTCATGATTAATGGATATTACAGTTTACATTTGCGTGAAATAAATTATATTTTCTAAGATTTATTTTAACGAGTTAATTTCTAAAATTTTTCGTTATTAAAAGTTTGCATTATAATGAAATTTAAAATGAAATCTTAAAAATAAAGAATTTCTATTTAAATATTTGCAAAATATTGGCAAAAAATAAATATTCAAACTTCGAAACGAGGTTTTCAATATTATATAAACTCGAAATAATATATGATATTATTTGAAAATATTATAAATATGATTAAAATTCTAGATACTTAAATTTTAATAGAGCTTAAATTTTGAAAGTATTGATGTCTCGAAAGACTTGATAGATTTCAAAATCTCGAAAGTTTCTAATAACCTATATAGACTAACTTAATTTAAGTTAATCTACACATGCTAAAATATATGATACATATATCGAGTCATATTTCATAATATAAGTGTATTGTTACATGTATTGCAGTATGTAATTGATGTAATTGATTTCAGATATAACTTATATCGATACAAGAATATATATTATGAATAAGATGAATAAGAAATAATACATTAGAAAATATGCTTTAAAAAAATTAAAATAAAAAATATATATAAAATTAAAAATAAAAATTAATAATAAAAATAAAAAATTAATATATGTTGAAATAATATAATTTTAATAAGATATTAAATTTTTTGCTTTTATTTAAATAATATTTTTGATTTAAAATAGAGAAAATTTTATTTATGTTATTCGCTTTTATAATTTATAAAAATATAAGAAATATATAATACATATAATGTAATATGCGAGATTCATTTTAAAAGTTAATCATCAATAAATAATAAAGAAACTAATTTTTCGCATAAATTAATTTATTCAGAATAAGTGATATAAATCAAAAATTATAATTTTTTAATTATTAATCTAGAAATTTAGAAATTTAGTATAGTCCTTTTCTTGATTTCTTCAATATGTTTTATTGATAGAGTTTTACAAATTAATTTTCAAATAGCTTTCAATTTTGAAACTTCATGTATTTTTACAAGAATTGAAAATTTTCGTCTTTTTTTTAAATCATGATTTTTAAGTTATATCATTGTTCTTTTTTATAATTGAATTGTATATACCGGCATTTCTTAATCTATAAATCATGATCCAATATTGGACATTAAATTTTTAATAGACTATAAAATAAAATTATTCAAATTATTTACTTATCTGTTCAAGCTGCTTAAAATATATTCAAGCGTTTAAATATGCAATAATTTTATTTATTTTTATAGTATACATGTAATATAATTCTAGATCTACCTGGTTTTTAAAAATTTTATATTATAAAACTCTGAAAGACAAGATAGAAAATTGAGAAACACTGTTCAATGCGGTTTATCTCGAAACGATATTTATTATATTACAATTTAATCCAATACGGATGATTCATACTTCGATTAAAATAATTTGTATTTTTTGCTTATCGAAATGATATTTATTATATCATGATTTAATATTTATTTTTTATTTTACATATTTTTCTTGAATATATTTTCTCTGCACATTTTATAAATTATTGTCAAAATATCATAATAATACATATAAATATAAAAATTCTGTTGCAGATGTTGGCAGGTGAATATCTTTATGCAAGATATTCTAATGCAAATTCGACAAAGATATTATTTGGCTACAACATACCTCCATGGATATGGAGTGCATATGAGAAGGTACGTCTTTGTTTTTATTTTACAAGAAAAGATGAATTAACTCTTTCTTGTGTAGGTATTCAAACTATGATTTTAAAAACGTTATAGAAGTAAAGAAAACTTGTGACCGAGAAATCTTTCTTCCTCATGCTTTTAACACCTTTCTTTCTTTTGTATACTTTTGTGAAAAGAGTTATGAAATGTTTTCTTGTCAATAGTCGAAAGATTCTTTGTAAATACAATTATCTATGTAAATACGTCAAAGAATTTCGAAAAAATCATTTTTTTCTTATATCTTAATAATGAAAATACATATAATTTTTTTGAAATGATAATATAATTTTGTTTAATTTTTACCATTTAAAATATTTTAATTTTTATTTTAAATTTTAATTAAATTTTATCATAAACGAAAATTTTATTATTAATGAATTTCTATCAAATAAATAGAATTAACTTTTTCTTATTTTTGAAATATATTTATTTAGTTTAATTAGTTTTTCTTTTTTTAGTCATCAATTTTTATTGTCTCTTTTTTTGAATTTTTATTCAGATAAAATTTTATTTAAATTGGTTAAAAAAAATGACTTACTTTTTAGTGAATTACTCATTATCATAAATATTGATTAATAATGAATTTTTAAAAAAATGAATCTATTTTAAATTCTACTTTTTATTCATTCACAGAAATTATTTATTAATAATTTTTATAATATTTATTAATATTTTTAATAATTTATTAAATTACACAAATTATACAAATAAAACAATAAATTAAACAAAATATTTTTAATAATTTATTAAAAATATTAAATGGAAGAAATTCAAAACATGTTTATATTAGACAAAAAAATTATTATCTCTCTAAATTTTTAAATAATTTTTTTATCATTATATAAGTTATATTATATTTATTCCTAATATATTATACATATATCTATATATTTATATAGATATTATTTAATTATTTTTTTTACAAAAATTTATAATATATGGGAGAAGAATAATTATTTATCGGTTTCTTTAAAATTCAAATTCAAGGTTAAAATTAAAATTCAAAGTTTTTCAAGTTATTGTTAAATATTATTAATTCTCTTGGCATAATAATGCATCATACAAATTCATTACATTTGACAAGTTATTGAATTTAAATGATTTGTATATATATTTGTTCTATATTTTGAATTTATGTATCTATTTTAATCTGTTTTAAAACTAATTATTTGTCTTAATAAAATGAATTTACATATCTACATATATATATACATACATAAATATTTGACATTAACGAAGAATAATAATTGATTAAAAATCATTATTAATTAATTTATTTAACAGCACATAGAACGATATCATATCTGTTTCAGCATATTTATACAAAATCATATTATATTAAATAACATATCTATTAACACGACAGTCTACATATAAGCATTACATAAGATATCTCAGAAATCAACCGACAAAATTTAATTTATGATTTTTCAGATAATTTCAAGCAATTTTTTCCTTTGCAAAAATTTTCGATTAGACTTTGTTAATAGTTAAAAAATTAATTAATAGTTAACAAATTATGAAACATTATAATGAAATGCAGTGACTAATCACAATTTGTAAATCGCATCAATAGTGTTGGGTATATGTTGCTAGCGAGTCGAAGTAGAGCAAATATATTATGCAGAGAGCAAATATATTAATATAAATAATATATAGATATGTCAAATATTCACGATTCACCAACGGTACATATCCAACGCTATTGCGTAACAGATCTATGCGCTTCGTGATTGGCCAATGTTTTTCATTAATAATTTGTCAATAACTCGAATCGAAAATTTTCGCAAAGCAAAGAATTGCTTAAAGTCAAAAATCGCCATTAAATTATTTGTCGATTGATTTTTAGGATATATATATATATATATATATATATATATAAATTATGAATATATATATATATATATAT